TAAATAACATTGAAAATAAGACTAAACTTAAAAAAAAAAAATTACTTACAAGTAAGTTTATTTAAGTAAAAAAGCAATTTTAAAATAAATATTATATTGCTAACACTAATACTAACATTAAATATTACAAGAACAAGTAATAGATGCCATTATTCAAATTACAAAATCACCACTCCTCTAAAAGAGCTCAAAAAGGAGAGGGCGTTTGAATGAATAACGTGTACACTGTCTTCCTCACTCTCTCCATCACCACATTTCATTCTTTAAAAAAAACCCTCCACACTCTTCATTCAAACTCAATACTTCACACAACTTCCCTCATTCTCCTAATTCCTAAATCCTCATCTTTGTCAACAAAAATTTTACAAGAAATCGCAATATCTATCTCAAAATCCTCAGAATAACCCCTTCAATCTCGTTGAATCTATTCTTACAGAAACTGGTTTTGCATTATTACAATTTACAACATAAAACATCTATTTCTTTAGCAACTAAAAGAAGAGGCAGGAAAAAAAAAAGAACCAAGAACAGGAAGGCTTACCGATGGGCGGTAGCAAATGGCGGCGGCAGTCAGCAGCACAGCAAGTCAGCAACTGGCATGCAGTAGCTTCGGCAGCAGAGCTGGGAGAACTGCGAAGGCGAGAAATGAAGGAAGAAGGGAAGGGTTTGGATATTATTTCATTTTATTGGACTTAGTTTTTAAGAAAATGCCCAACTATCTTAGCCCAAAATAATGGGCCAAAACTTTAAAAAAAAAAATGGCCCTCCTGTGTCTTCTTCTTCCGGCTTCTCTGTTCTCTCTACAACAGTGTCATGGTAGCGCCGACGTATTGATGACTCCAGCGGATCCAGCACGGGCGGCCGCGCCCCCTCGCCGAGTGCTGGGTTCGTCCCTGGATCACCCACCCTTGAAACTCCTAAAACATAAATATATCCTTGAAACTCTTTTTCACCAAAAATATTTTTATACTAGCACATAAGTTATTGTGTTACTCCAACTAGCACCGATTGGTACAAGGACGAGACGAGGAACACCATCCTTGCCTCATTGCCATTCTTAATTTTATTGTTCCTAAAACAAAAGTATGGTATAGTTTTAGCATATATTTTCTAGGATATCGGTTGTCTGTTTGAACACACAATTCTCCAAAATTAGCTGCTTTTAGTTATAACTTATAAGCAAAAATTCAAAGACTTAAAAGGGGGAAGTGTTTTCCAGTTTTGGAAGAAAAGAGATTATTATCAATCTCTAGATTGTAATGCTTTCTCAAAACTTTGTACCTTAATATATATCATAGAAAAATATCTCGTAAAAGGTTAAAAGATATTTGTCCTATAGGACATTATCTAATTATCCAAGACGTCGTTGGTTGCTCAACATGTTGAAGTTGATAAATAGACAATACAATCTTCGTCTTTTCTTTATTTTTTCAATATATTTTTTGAGTGCAGTGCATTAGGACAAGTGATAGGGTTAGAGGGTTGGTCTGAGCTATAGTCCAAGTACCTTTTTTGTAAAAAAATCTCAAATCTAAAAGAATTTTTAATCTAACCCTAATCCTTGAGCAGGACCAAAAAATAAAGTAATTCATTCAACTTTAAATTTGGATAGCTGCCTGTTAATTTGTGGACTATACACACGTTTCGAAGCAGATAGCTACAGCACCAAAATTGGCCTTTTGACCAGTTCATTATTATGGATAGTGCAATCATCTTCTCATAGTGCTAACTTTTCATTGACCAGCTGTTTCTTTCACTTTTAGTTTTATTCAATTATTCATCCTAGTCGACACCTATCTTCTGTATCAAAAGTAGTAACAAGACAAGGGACTTTTGAAGCTGTTAGTACTATGAAATTACTACAATCAACGAGTGAACAAAATAGAGTAAGAGTTATAAAATGTTTATTTCTGTGTCTTTGGAGTGCATTTAATTTAGACTTTCACAACTTTTGTAGATTTTCTTAAGTGATAGGATTCAAATCTTTTTATATTTCTATAGATTTTCATTATAAGACTTTTATAGGATTCATATGACTTTCGAGGATTTTCATTTAATTTATAAATTGAGTTTTAAATTTAGTCGAAATCAAACATTAATTTCAACCATGCATTTGATTACTACTACTCAATATGCTCATTTTGCTAGACCTATTACCAATCCTCTTTATAAAATAATTTTAGAGGCTTTTTGTCCATGCATTTAATGTGAAGTTTGAAATTACGAGGTTCGACTCAAATTACATCTAGAGAGGGGTGAATTGGTGATTCTGCGGAAATAACAAACTAATAATTAAATAACAACAAGTCACTTTTAATTATCTCTAAATGGTTAATCAATCAATTCAATTTTCTTATGTTGAAATGTCGCAGCTATATGAAAATAGTAAATAATATATAGAATGATCACGAATAGACCCCAACTGGGTAAAAACTTTGGTCACTTTGCCAGTATAGAATCCACAATAAACAAATTTGAACTTACAGTCCGTCAGACACAACTACCACTAGTACTTTTTGACATCCTGACCACAAATTTCACAGCCCTCCTGGATTGCATGCCCTTGCACCAACTCTCAATTGCAATTTTCAAAACCCTCTTGGATTGCATGATCCTACACCAAATCCCGACTTTCTGAATTCATCTATCTCATGTGGATCAACGAAGAACTCTGCGTTCTTCAACAACAATTGGAACTCTAGTCACCTTCCCTTGATCTTCAGAAATTTGCCAGATGTTTGGGAAGTAAGCAGTTTGATATTTGAATTAAGTGGATTTGATGTTTTCATCGCCAAGAACAAATCTAACAATGAAGGTTGAAAGTTATAGATGAATTTGATGAAGTAGTTTGTGTTCTCTCAATGTTCAACCTTAAAAAAAAATGTTCAGAAGTGTGCTGGTATTTATATTGTAGGTTTAGGATTGAATGTGTTAGATAAAAAACTTTAAAAATACGAATTAAAATTTTACGGATGACAGTTGTTTGAGCGAGAGCTTAGCGACAAGTTGTCGCTCGAGCAAGTACAAGGCGGCAAGCGAGCGAAAATGCTTCCGCTTCTGCCGCTCAAGCGAAGACATGGCGATGAGCTAGCGAAATCACAGCGCCGTTTTTCCTTCTTTCAATCATCGAACCCTGGATCTAAAACAACTCAACTTATAATATTTGCAACTTACTCATTGACTTTTACTTCATATTATATCTAGTTCTTTTTGTTCACATACTTTTCATCACATTAAACACCTAACGAGGTTAAAGGCCAAAATTCATTGAAAAAGTTAATCACATAATTGCTAAATTTAGCGGAGGTTCAAGTCTTTAAGTGAAGTTAAAATGTAATGCCAATCATATTCTAAGAACAAAAATTCAATATCGTATTCGTTTAGAAGAAAAACAAAATTTGTATTTTTATTATGGGCTTACAAAACGAGAATTAATTAAATACCTTCCATGTCCATCGTGTGGCGACATGGGGGCAAAAAAAGGAAGAGAGGGATGGGGTTTCTCTCGCTTTTGACATAGTGGCCCCGCACACGACAAGCTATTAGCTCAGTGGTAGAACACACGTCATCGAAAAAATCAAGGGGTCAACATGTCAAGTTTTACTATAATTACTTGAAATGTGTTTAATTAGATAATATTCTTTTTTGATTGGATATGGTTTTCACTATCCCCGCATCTCGCCAATTAGTTGACCATAGTCATATTTTTAGTTAATGGATGTAAAGTAGATATACCAAGTTATCATTGCAAACCTCAAGATATTATTTTGGTGAAGGATAAACAAAAATCCAAAACTATGATTCAAAATATTGATGAAAAACTATGGTGCCAAATGCCCATGTAGCCACCCTTGATGAAACTTGTAATCACCTTATTCTCGAAAGAATGGCAATTTGCCGTGTCAAACTCGAGCCCTGTGGATATACATCGAACATGTTGAGCATGCCCCAACTTAATCGGGACGATGGGCGGTTTCAAGGGGAAGAATTGCTGGCCTGGGGCACGGACGGGGCAAGGTAGGGACTCGAATATTCACCCCTTCCCTTTTTTAATTTAAATTTTGAATATTAAATAAAATATTTATTGTTTATTTCAAAAATAGATACTTGAATAATTGAGACAAAAATAAATAAATAAAACTACATTATTTACAGATCCTGCTTCTTTAATATAACTGCAAGTTTTTCAATTTGAGACAAAATGAATTCCTTAGTAAGTCACACTATTTGACTATAATATTATTTGTCACTTCGTTTAAATAATAAAATTTTCTGGTCTCGACCAGGGTCGGTGTACTAAATTAATATATTGCTAAATATATAAAATAATTATTGTTAATACATAAGATTATATATTAAGGAACTCTTTATTCTATTTCTTCAATTCTATTTTTTTTTTTTCGAAAATATGCGTCTAAACTTACTAACTTTCCTTTTGTACTCAAATCGAACTTATATCATCTCTAATTTATTACAATGCATATAAAACATCTTGTTTATTTTTTAAATAATATAGAAAATAATTACTTAAGGTTACAGTGCTCGAAAAATTTATTTTGGAGAAATTGTTGTAAAACACAGTTATCATCTAAATCATAATTATTTTCGATATGCGTTTTCAGTAACTCTTGAATACTCTCTTCACCGATAAGTTATTCCTGCGAAGGAATAAATTTCATATCGATTAAATACCAAAATATAGACTAACATATAAGAATTTATATTACTCCACATAATAAAGTTGACATTTTAATATGGAACTTCAAATTTTAATATGATATCAAAATCTACTGAACTCTAATAGACAATTCGATCCGATTAAGACTAAAAAACGAGTACATAAATTTCAATATTAATCTGTTTAAAACAAGGCATCAACTTGGGGGCTAGTTAACAGATAAATTCATATCAATTAATATCGAAATATATACATAAGGATATAAGCTACTTATCTTCATAAGGTTAATTTTTTAAAATGGGACCTCAAATTTTAATAATACTATTATCGTATTATTTTCACTAAGATAATTTAAAAAATCCTAGATATTCATCAGACTTTTGTAACATTCACTAAAAATAAATTTACCTAATCTATTAATAAATTAATAAATTTACCTCGAGTAAAAAAAAAAATTCTCGTTTTCAATCGTAAAGAATCGGGCTCGTAGATGTATGTTGCCAATGTTGGCAAGTGACAAAGTACAAGTGGTTACAGCCTTTGGTTCCCCATTTTCATTCAATTTGGAACTCTGTAGACCAACATCACCTTTACATATATACACCTTTTGACTTTTTAATTATTAATGTACCTTTTGACTTTTTAATTATTATTGTATTATTATTATGGATAGTGCGACGTCTTTGAGTCGCGTCATCTTCCACTTTAATTATAATCAACAATTATCCATCCAAGTGGACGCGAGTTGTCAAGTATATGAAACTCTTCAATCTAACAATTTAAGATTCGAGATCGACTTCAAATTTATTTCTTAATTGAGTGACAAAAGAGATGCGATCTAAACGTTCGAGGATACTCAGGTTTGGTAAGTGAACCGGGATACTAATTTAGGATTGTATTATGTATTCATAAGTTCAAACTAGCTAGCTAGCTAGCCTATTGGTTTCCATTTTTACTAATTAACTATAGTTAAGAGTATGTTTGATGTAGACTTTTTGAGAATATATATTTTGTAAAAAGTGATTTTTTTTTTTTTAAACAATGTTGTTAAAAAGTATGGAAAAGTTTATGTGTTCACGTGTAAAATTATTTTATTAAAATAATGTGTGATAAAAAGTAAGTTCAAGAAAAAAAAATGAATTTCGAAGAATTTCTACCAAACAGAGCCTAAATATCTATACAACGTATGTGCATTTTATAAAACAAAAATCATTTCTCAAAAAATAATTTATGGAATTGTTATTTTTTTTTTTAATGAAATTCAATGTTAATAGGATCACTAACATGTACAGTAAATTGCACTACTTTGTCAAATTTTAATAAAATGTGATGAAATGTGGAGTCAAAATTAAATTTAACTTAACTTTTTTTTTTATATATATCAAACTTTGAATTTAAATCAATCAAAAGCGCAGGAAGACCATGCAAGTTTTACATCATTGAACTATCAAATTAATCAAGAAATGGAACTAATTACTACAACGGAAAATTTCGTATTTGCATCATTATAAAATAAAAATTCAGATAATATCACACATTTTTCAAAAAACTAATATTGCGTAAATTCAATATTTTTCCTTATTTTTTAACCACGCATTCTCTAAAAAATCATCATTTCAAAATACATTTCCCTCAAAATTTGTTTTTAATGGAGCCCGTGCTTCATTTTGTCACGTATATTCATATATCTACTACTACGATATGCATCTTGTAAACATGATATCAAACAAATTTTATATTGCAAGGATAATATTGTTGGTTCCTTCTACTATTTCTATTTATAAATCATTCATCAATTTATCGAGAGGCTAAATAAAAATACAAAGAAAATAAAAGGGAACAACTTTTTGTGGATATATGTTTTTTAAATGAAGGAATTTAATAAGGATTATGATGGAATATATAATTGGGGTGAATATATGACTTTTTGTAAATTTTTAAATTTTAATAGGAACATATTTAGAGTGGGATATATGTATATCAGGTGCATGTGTATTATTTTATTTGCTTCTTGCACAAGTTTCCCATGGCGACTTGATAATTATCTGATATAAAAGAAGATGTTCTATAAACAGGGAATATAAACATGAAAATAGAAGCTTCTTTGGCTCACTGATTGCTTCTAAGCATATTTAAATCACAAGTAGACAGGGCACAAAGTAAGAGAGCATTTCCCTTTTCTAATGGTAGTGGGATTCTCATTCACTACACCACCATCTCAATTTCATCTACACCGAACCCCTATGGCCATTGGACCCAAAATTCGCCTTTCCAATTCCAATGCTCCGTCCACTTTTTTTTCTTGGAAAAAGTTTGTTTTTTTGGCTCTGAATGCTTTGTGGGTCCCCAACACTAAGCCACCAGCTGTTCCAGATAATCTTGATGATGCTTGTTATTATCTACTTGTATTTCTTGATGATTCATTCTACACACTTCAAAAGACGTGGTTAAACAAGGTCAGCTTTAATTCTTCCTACAGCATGTCATGGGGAACTTTAATCGTCCTTGTTTCATAATGTGAAAATTAGAGCTTATAGTTTCCTTTGGTACTATATTCATGAAGCCATGGTTACCTAAGGGGAAATTGTGCAGATTTATTTGTATGTAATTCTTTGAATGTTGATCTTGATATTCGACAATATTTGCTTGTAGTTTATATATATACATATAGACTTGCTGCTATGTTATTGCTCATATTGATTAGTGAAAACTGCATTTTCTCCATTGTTCTTGTTAATTTGAAAATGTTAACAACATCTAAACCCTTTTGTAATTATAATTAAACTAAACTTTGTTATTTGGGTAAAGCTAGATGCAAAAAAAGTCAAATTAGCAGTAAGTATCAATTTGTCAATGCATGGTGTATCCTTTCAACCATTGCTCAACCTTAGATTATGATTTTACTATATTCCTCATTCAAAAGAGATTTGAGTAAATCTCATTACGTTGCAGATGTAATATAAAAAATGTGGTGCTTGGTGCCATAAACTGTTTAACTTTGACAAGAGTTCACTTGAAGCTAGTATGCCCTGGTGGGGATTTAAATTGGAATACTTGTTTGTTTTCTCTGCCATCATGCAACCCATGAAACATATTTAGGTAGTCCTTTTAACAGATTGAATTTTTTTTCTGTTTAGAATCAACTGAAGGAGGTGAAGGATTACTGGAAACGTTTAGCTCAGAAATTAGAGGAGATCATATGGCTGAAACCTTTTCCATTACTTATCTGTGTCTTATGCTATTGATTAATTTGCTTGTGCTCCTCTCCTTGCCCTGCTGCTGTTTTGGCTCCAATAAGCCCGGTGTTGAAGGTATACTGCCTGTAGACTTGTCTAGACGTTAGCTTTATCACTGTTTTTTGGTGAAGTGAACAATATGACATGAGATGTTTCTCAATGATTGGATGCTATGGGAATGCTCACCTTCAGTAATCGTGAATGTTAATATTAAATCTCAGATTCTACTATAATGCAAATATAAAGTATATGACTCTGATCAGAAATACATGGCCATATCATGTTTCTTTTTTTGCCAAATGGTTGTCTTGGCTTCCAGGGAGTGGGGGTGGTGGTTCTATGGTGGCTGGACTGAACCAGCAGGGATTCAAATGTTTTACTGAGAACTGGCTGGTTCTTTAGCAAAAAGAATCTGAACCAGACTGAATAAACCTGTTCTATTTCTGTCTGTTTCAGTTTGCTATGGAGTTTGGATGCCTTATGATAAGATCTATTCACCAATACAAATTTTTTATTTATATAAAAAGCTAAAAGTAATTAAGAAAAAAAGAAGGTAATGGATCTCAATCTCTTTTTTGCCTTTGAGCCCTGAGAACTTGCCAGTTTCCAATTTAAATGACCAGAAGTTAAACTTTTATATCAATAGACCGGTCAGAACCATCTGGGCATTTCTTCTGGTTCTAGGAATTTTTCCCAATCCTATTCCAATTGCCAATTCCAACTTTTATTTTTGGCGAATTCTAAAGAATTATGCTTTCGTTACTAACATTTTCAGGTTTTGTTCCATGATCCCTACTTAATAGAAGTTATCTTATTACATTCATCATTTTCCACATATCAATGGCCAAGTAGAAATGTGCTGTTAGCTGCCAAAAACAAATAATTGTGCTTTTAGTTGTTTTTGGTTTTATCTATATCTGAAATTCAAATTAGACTATGCATGATGTTCTGTAATAAATGAACATTTTTGTTTTGGAACACTGCAATTCTAAAATTCTAAATATTTGCAGTCTAAACAATATATAATTAAATTACTAAGTATAATCTACGCTTAAAGTTCACCAAAAAAGAAAAATTGAAAATATTTAACACCGTATCAATTGTTCCTAGTTGTTTTATCATTCTGATGAATGATCTTTTTTCCTTTTCAATTGATGTTACAGGTGAAGCTTTGATTGAATTTCGAACAGCTCTGAATGACTCCACTAGTAAAATTGCAGATTGGAACCCCTATTTTGTTAGCCCCTGTTTCAGTTGGTCTCATGTTGCATGTAGAAATGGAAACGTGATATCCTTGTTAGTACTAAATTCTCTTTCTCATTCAATTATATGGTTTCACTTTTTCTGTTTCCCATATTCCATCATGAAAGGACGGAATGGAAATCAAGTCACGCCTATCAGCTTTGTGAATCAAGTTCATAAAATTTATTGAGTATTGTGTTTGTTGATGCATCAACTTGCAGAAGCCTGGCATCTAAAGGATTTTCAGGAACACTTTCACCAGCAATAACCAAGTTAAAATATCTGGTTAGCTTGTAAGTATTGTTGTTTTTCTTTTTCCTTCTTGCGAAAGACCCTTGTGCTCATTATTCTATCCTTCTCAAATCTTTCAGTCCATTCTTTTTTGTTTTTACTCTTTTCGTTTTTCTTTTGGAGAGGGAGCGGGGAGGAGTGTTGAGAAGCCCCGACTTGCATGTCAGCATGTGGATTGAGATCTGATTCTTACAATACATATCAATGAAAACTTTTACTATTTTGGACCACTATTCTTGTCTGCTATTGATATTATTCAAGGCTTAAAAAATCTCTCTCCTGAAAAACATTGCAATGGAGATATTCTTTAAATTAGGCAACAGTTTCTTAAATTTCTCACCTTTAGTACATTGTTCAAGATTTTGTTTACTTAGCTCACCTAGCATCTTACCATAATATATAGAGAAAATGAGGATCTGGCGTGGATTTGTGACATACTATAATGGATAAGATAAGAAATAAGGAAAAAGATAGCAGTTGGAGGTGACAATAATCCAGGATAAATTATGCATAGACATGAAGAAGCTCCCATTCACAATCACAATAGGACGTGCTAGAATAGGGAGAGAGACCAAGAGAAGTATGGGATGGTTGCAAAAGATTTGATTTTATTGGACTTTTCGATGGATACAGTGCTGAATCGAGTGGAGTGGTGAAAAAGGATTTTTGTAGCCGAACTGTATCTGGAACTAAGCTTTGCTTGTTGTCTAGCAGATTAAGAAATAATTTTAACCCATGAAGCCATCCCTTCTGGGATGTCATTTGTGCCTAATTTTACTTTTTGAGAAATACCTTAGGTGCTTTCCATCGGTGCAGGGATCTACGTGATAATAATCTTTCTGGTCCCTTACCTGATTATCTTGGAAGCATGTTGAATCTTCAGAATTTAAATCTGGCAAACAATAACTTCAATGGCTCCATTCCAGCAACCTGGGGTCAACTTTCCAACCTGAAATATTTGTAAGTTTATGCCCATGCATTCAAATTTTAGCACTCGTATTTCACAAGGTGATATCTTATTCATTTTCCATGCGATAAGTGTTATCTAATTTAGGGCTATATCTTGTTAAAAATCTTATTCTCATGTACATCATATATGTACTGAAGTGTGAAAATTTTGAAACTCTGCATCAATCCGGGTGATGAGTGGAAATCACTTAAGTGGACCTATCCCTAAATCGCTTCTAAATATCTCGGGCTTATTGGAACTTTAAGAAGTCTTAGTGAATGTTATTTAGGGCCACTTTATTTTTCCCATGTTTATACAATTAGTGAAATTTTCTGCTTGCAGGAATCTTTCATCCAACTACTTATTAGGGAGAATTCCTGCAGAATTGTTTTCAACATCTATCTTTGAGTAAGTGTTTTTCTTATTAAATGTTCTTCTAATCTTTAATTTTATTGTAGAACCAGAATTTGGGAACAGTAACAACTTGTGTTAGAACCTAACAATTGCATACTAAGTTTGTACAGGTGTCATGAAATTTCTTCAGCTTTCTTTTTTAAATTTTAATTTCAGTTAAGTCCAAGGAAGCTATTATGGTCATTGGGCCCATAATTCTGTTATGGATAATGCTGGTTAATTTTGAAATTATCATGATCAATCCTCAAGTGTGATTATGATTTCCTTTGTCTACATCAATTTGAGCTCTACTGAGACCTAAACTTGTTATCTTATTTGGCGCCTCCCACTTGTTCATTTATGTCTTATGTGCCACATATCAGCTTCACAGGCACGCATCTCAAATGTGGAAACAATTTCCAGCACCCTTGTGTTCCAAATTCCTCCACCAAAGGTTTTGTTTATTTTCGTAGTGGTATTCTCAGTTTTATTTGATATTCTTGTGGAGAAAAAGAAGAACAGAAACCTGACTCCAGGTATCAATGCAGTTTCTACTAGAAAATCAAAATTCGAAATTTCCATTACCATAGCAAGCATTTGTGCATTTGCTCTCCTGTTACTTGGGGCTGTCTTTGCTTACCGATTCCATCGGGTGCATAAAACGAAACGTGATATATTTGTTGATGTGGAAGGTAAATTTTTCTTCTGATTTGTATGTGATATTGATATTATTTTACTTTTTTCGAGTACACAGCATAATATGTATAAAGATTTCTGGGAGAGGCATTGGCTCTCCACATGTTCGTTGGTGTCAAAGCTAAATCATGGATTAAAATTATTTTTCAAGTATTTCCTTCTCTTGCTTATCCATTTAAAGGGAATATTGGAATTTCAACTTCTGATGCACAGGAACCAAAGACTCAAAAAAACGAAGAAGCCAGTCTAATGGTGGTTGGACACCTTAATACTTTTAGAGAAAATAGATAATTGGTGTGCGCATTTGTATGTTTGCGTATCCCGAAATTTTTCATCCTTTCTACTACCGGGAGTTATCTGCCCCTCTTGTTCAAGTTGATGACAATTATAGATCTCTGCATCCTCTTATCTGAACTCTATAGTACACTTAGAGATGCTTCTGAACTCCACTTAGATTGATGTATGGCTCGCATTTTCACTTAGGTGAAGATGAGTGCAAAATTTCCTTTGGACAACTCAGAAGGTTTTCATTGCGGGAAATTCAGCTAGCAACAGAGAATTTTAGTGAAAGCAACATTATTGGACAAGGGGGCTTTGGAAAAGTATACAAGGGCATCCTTTCAGACAACACACGAGTTGCTGTGAAACGCCTAATGGACTATCGTAGTCCTGGTGGAGAGGACGCATTTTTACGGGAGGTTCACTTGATAAGTGTAGCAGTTCACAAAAACTTGCTTCGATTAATTGGGTTTTGTACAACCTCTACAGAAAGAATTCTTGTTTACCCATTTATGCGGAACCTCAGTGTTGCATATCAATTAAGAGGTACTCCTCATTACAATTTACTTGTGGATGCAACGGTGGAAACCACCTTTCCTTGTAGGAGAATCTATTTACTCTTTACTACTCACTGTGCACAAAATAGCTGTTACTAATAATATTCTGAAATAAAGGCATTCTATATCCTCATATAATTTTACGTATTGCTTTCTAATTCTATCATATAGCAAGATTGATATTAATAGTACTTAACGTGTTCTGCACCATTCCATCACTTTTTATTGCAAGATAAAAGTAATTAGAGAATAACACTATACTTCAAGAAGCTAATGGTGACTGGTGAATGATTTTGCATTTTGTGAATTCTTTAGTCACTTCTATTTACATGTCATAAATGTGAGTAAGGTGCTTCACTGAAAACTCAAAATCTTTTGAGCATGATAGATTTAAAACCTGGAGAGAAAGGCCTGGACTGGCCAACAAGAAAGCGGATAGCTTGCGGTGCAGCCCAGGGCCTGGAGTACCTTCACGAGCATTGCAACCCTAAGATCATTCACCGTGATTTGAAGGCTGCAAACATCCTTCTCGATGATGATTTTGAAGCTGTCCTTGGAGATTTTGGATTGGCAAAACTAGTGGACGCAAAGCTCACACACATTACCACTCAAATACGTGGAACTATGGGACACATTGCCCCCGAGTATTTGTCTACAGGAAAATCTTCAGAAGCAACAGATGTGTTTGGATATGGTATTACTCTTCTAGAACTAGTAACTGGTCAGCGTGCAATAGATTTCTCCCGTCTTGAAGATGAGGAAGAGGTTCTGCTGCTGGATCACGTAAGTTCTGTTTCACTATTTTCTGAAATTAAATTTTGCAATTAGACTTTCTTTGTTACTTCTCGTATTTGTGCACTAATTGTGCCGGCGCAAAAGTTATATCTAGTTCAAGGAATTGTCCATTTTTGAAGGAACTGAAATCGAGCCTTGAAAATCTTACACCTACATAAGTCCATAGAGTTTGGCCATAAGATTTCTAGACTGAAGGTTCTCTTTGGAACATTGTATTATGCCTAGATTGAATATAGATGAAACAACAGGTCAAGTTGGGGGATTCCTTCACCTCAAGTTTTAGAACAATCTCCTTCGGAATTGATAATTAACTTTATGGTTTGTGCATACAATTGTCAAAATAAATTCAAAAAATAGTTTAAAGAATAAATAGCCTTCTTTTTAGTATTGCATCTACACAAGATGATTTGGCTAAAGTGAACTAATCTTGCTGGAGTTGTTTATGTAAACTTAGGTGTGCTACTCACAGTATTAATTTAGCAAAGGCAATGTGACTTGATTTCTGGACCTCTGCATGCTTTGGTACGATGTTGAACGACATTCTCTAAAAGCTTAATCAATTATAGAGAAATCAACTTATTAATTTAACTTGTCTTCAACGCTTGTATCCTCTCTGTAGTTTTACATTTGGATATTCTTTTTCTGCTTGCTCTATTCTTCCTGTTGGTGATATACCCAATGCTAAGCCACTTTTCGATAATTATTTGATGTAATTTCAGATAAAAAACTTACTAAGAGAGGAAAAGTTTGAGGACATTGTTGATGAGAACTTGAAAAGTTATGATCTCGAAGAAGTCGAAACAATTCTCCAAGTTGCTATGCTTTGCACCCAAAGTTCACCGGAAGATCGTCCGAGGATGGCAGAAGTCGTGAACATGCTGCAGGGAGTGGGTTTGGCTGAGCGATGGGCCGAGTGGGAGCAATTGGAAAAAGTAAGATATCAAGAATTTTCCCTCTTGTCCCACCAGTTCATTTGGGCTGAAGATTCTACTCATGACCAAGAAGCTATACAGTTGTCACAAGCTAGATAGAAGTTTTCATATATTGAAGGCGAACTAAGAGATGGTTACTTTATATTTTACATGTTGAAATATCTATCTTACACGCTTTCAGTTTAAGGTTTGGACGAAGTTAGTATATTGTATGTAATATTGTCTACATCCGTTACCGGGAATTTTTCAGACTTACCAAGTATCGATAGTTAACAAGGTTAATTAGTGCATGTTTGACAATCATTTTTGTAGGAAAAAAAAGTTTCGAATTGTGATTTTCAAAAGAATGTGTGGCTAAAAAGTATGAAATTTTTTTGACATACGTGTAAGATATTTTATTGTGTGAATGTATTGTTGAAAATGATCTTATAGCAAACTATAAAATAAATTAAAGAATGTCAAACATGCACTTAATAACTTGTACATTTTTTTAAATCTTGCTTTGCTTTATAACATATGAATTAAACATTGTCGTTTATTTTTGACGGTAGATTGGGCGATTGGTGACCCAACCAATTTACGCAAAAGAGTAGTAATACTTACCTCAATAGTTTTTGTTTGATATACCAGATTTTAATTATAATTGAAGTTCTTGACATTTATTATACAACACGTATTTTTCCAACTTATTGTTCATTTTCATTAATTAGCACATTTTGTTATCAACGATGATTTCTATCCAAAAATTTGTTAAGACTAATAAAAAAACTTAGTGCTTGTTTGTCTCCCATTTTGGGAGAAGAAATAGAGTTTTGAATATTATTTTTTGAATAATGTGTGATTGAAAAGTAAAGTAATTTTATTGATTTGTATGTAGAATATTTTATTGAGTGAATATGTGGTGAAGATTGTTTACTGTATCAAACAATATTTAATAAAATGAATGACAAACATGGACTTATTTCCCTTGTATTTTTAAATAAGCAAGAAAACAATAAATATAATAGTTCAATTAAATTTTTGTCCCTATTTTTAAAACACGATAACAAAATATTTGGATAGAAATCATCATCAACAAACGAATATATTTTATTTGATTAAAATTTTAATAAATAAAGAAAATAATGAAAAAAATTAATATATAAGAATACAACGAAAAAACTAAGAACATAAGTACAACGAGCAAAAGTAGGACTGGACATGATCCAGTTCGATTCGATTCTGAAGAGAAGAGAACCAAACCAAACCGAAATTTTCAAGTATTTAGTAAGTGGAACCGTCGGGTCCAAATTTAATTATAGAACCATTCGGGTTTGGTTCGATTCGGTTCTCAAGTTTCGTACAATAATTAATTTTTTTAATATTTACAACAACGCTACATTAATTCGACTATAACATGTTCAATCTTAACTCTTACAAAATAATGTAGTCTAATCTGATGATATCTTTTGCACATTTTTTCGTTGAGTTCTTCATAGATATGATTCACAATAATAGATTGACAGAAATAATACTACGGTAGAATAAGCGATTTAGGCAAAATTTAAGTCAATTTGATTAAGTATTCGATTCTGAAGAGAAGAGAACCACACGAAACCGAAATTTTCAAGTATTTAGTAAGTGAAACCGTCGGGTCCAAATTTAATTATAGAACCATTCGGGTTTGGTTCGATTCGGTTCCCAAGTTTCGTACAATAATTAATTTTTCTAATATTTACAACAACGCTACATTAATTCGACTATAACATGTTCAATCTTAACTCTTACAAAATAATGTAGTCTAATCTGATGATATCTTTTACACATTTTTTCGTTGAGTTCTTCATAGATATGATTCACAATAATAGATTGACAGAAATAATGCTACGGTAGAATAAGAGATTTAGGCAAAATTTAGGTCAATTTAATTAAGTTGAGCTTGGTTGAAAATTGAAAATAGTAAAATCAAATTTTAGGTTTGAGCTAAATTAATTAGTTAGAAAATTCATTTTAAAAAAATAAAATTATTTGATATATTTGAGATAAAAAAAAAAAAAAAAAATTAGGATGATTCGGTTCTCATTCAATTTTTTTAGTTCTAGGTCTAGAACAAAAAATCGAACCAAATTCGTCGGTTCTTGATTTAGATACACGTTTGATTATTTAATTTAACACGTTCGATTATTTAATTTAAGAAGAACCACTCGATTCGGTTTAGTTCAGTTCGGATCCGGTTCGATTCGAGAGTTTTGTGCAGCCATAAGCAAAAGTCACGAACCTTTTTGACATTCCTATTCTTAACTAAAAGAGTAATGCTATTCATCCGCAGTGGGGTTATAAATACAATTTAGATGATGTTAGTATGACATAACTCCAATAAGGATGGATAACATTAGCTACAAGGTTTTTTCATCACGTGACCCTCACGTGAATCCAAGCGTCAACCAAAGTTTCCAGACCGCCTATATAATCGTGCGGCCGTCCTCCGAAAACTGGCGGGAATCTCGCTCACATTTCCCTCCCACAACCCACTACCACAACCATGGGCACCAACGGCAACACCCGGAAGCGTCCAGCTCCTCCTACTCCGGCGCCGGCGATGTCGTCACCTCAGCAGAAACAGCGCACATCTATGGAAGAAGAGGAGTTCGACGAAGACGTTTTCCTCGAAGAAACCCTTCTTCAGTACGAGGAGGAAGACTCGCAGCGCCGTGCCCTATCCGAGCGTCTAGGGAAGTGGAAACGTCCTGCGCTCTCTTCATCATACCTCAATCAGTCTCAGAACATTAGTAAGTAACGAAATAAAATTCAAAACACTTCAGTTTCGCTTCTGCCAACGTAGCATACGCTTCAATTCGAGTACCTCGGTCACAAGGGGAATTGGGGAAAGAGATGGCCTCCAGGGTTTTAAAAAATTGGGGCTTTCTGGAACTTATGCGATTAGTGAAGCATAACGGTCAACAGACCCTGTTCTACAATCAACTTGCTAATCTTGCACTAACATTTTAGGTCGATATAACATTCGAAGCGTATCCATAAGAAATCTAGTTGTATTTTTTCTGCTTTACTGGAACTCCTAATATCGACTTTTTAAATAAATTTACCATAACCATACGATGCACAATAATGCACATTTCACTTAAATTCACTATTTGCAGCACATGTCTATACATTTTTTCCACAGCAATCCTTTTTACCCCTTTTTTGTTAGCAAGGTACAATCTTTGCTGCATAAGTTACATGTTAAGTTAGATCTCACGCCTTATTATTGTCCCTTGATATTGCCAAATATAACTGCTCCAAATGTATTAAAAATTAGGGTTGGAAAGGAAAGGTCAGATTTTCATTTGAAGTTGTGTTGGGATTTGTGTTGTAACTATTTTTTTTTTTAAATCTTGTATTATCAAGTATTTCAGCAATTGGAGATTGACTATGTGATTGGCGATAGCCACAAAGAATTGCTGTCAAACTCTTCAGGTCCAGCTGCAATTATCAGGATATTTGGTGTAACCAACGAAGGTCGGCTCTCTCTATACCTCAACTCTGTACCAGAGGCCCGCAATCTCAATACCATGAAAGAAATTTAATTTTCTAGAGTGAATCATAATTTTAAACTCATAAAACATACAGACAGGTAAGGTGGTTACATGGGTTTAAGTTGATCTTAACAAGGGAAAAATCTTTGAACTTTTGTTCAAAACAGTTGGCTTGAAGAAGAGATTATAACACATTGAAATTTGAAGTTAAATTTGTTGTGAAAGTTAAGCAGTGTATGAAACTAGACAGTGGTTGTTATTAGTCTGAAAGTAGAGATGAATCTTGTTTTCTTCTAGTACAATTGTTGTTCTTGTTTCATGTTCCAGCATATAAGAGCAAAGTAAAGATCTAAGTTGTGAATCATTTCTTTTGGTTCACAATAAAATCTGATACGAACTTATTACTATGCATACTGATTGATTGGATTCTTGCCCTCAAGAAAGTTAATTCTCTGGCTTCAAATAGTTGTGTTTGTGTTTGAACCCTCGCTGTTGGATGTGTTCATCATTCTATTGTGTTGTAAAGTCTAATGTGCAATTAATAATCTTGGTCGTATAAGATACTTGAAGAAATCACTTGCATACAGTTAGTAAATGATATTATGTGTTTTGCATTTCTAAAAATTAATTGTTTTTCGTGTTGGCCAGGGCATAGTGTTTGCTGTCATGTACATGGATTTGAACCATATTTCTACATCAGTTGTCCTCCTGGAATGGGCCCTGATGATATCTCTCACTTTCATCAAGCTCTCGAGGTAGTTTCTTCAATTCTACTAATAATGTTGTATTTTTAAATAATATACTTCCATCTGTGGCTTCGTTCACTTGTTTGGTTGCATTCTTGTTGTTGGCATGTTTAATGCAGGGTAGGATGAGAGAATCAAACAGAAACAGCAAGGTTCCGAAATTTGTTCGCCGTATTGAACTGGTTCAGAGAAGAAGCATTATGTATTATCAACAACAGAGTTTTCTGCCCTTCCTTAAGATTGTTGTGGCATTGCCAACAATGGTTGCTAGCTGCCGTGGTATAAATTTAGATTTTCTTATGCTCTACAACATTATTTTTCTACTGTTGGTAGTTTTCCAGTTGCTTGGCATTTCCTCTCTTTATTTGTTAGAGGTGCATGTGAGGTCCATAGGTTTTGCCTGCAGTATCAATTCACAGTGAGTATTCTTGAATTGACTGAATTGTTGTATGCAGCATCATTAGATGTAGATAATTGATAGTATTGAGATATTGTAGAAGCACATGCCACGGAAGGTTAAGTGGAGATGCTTTAATTAAAAAAAAAAAAATGTTAAAGGGGCTGAGTATATGATCCATTTCATTTATTTCTTGTTAGTCTCGTCCCAGCTAAAATGTGTATTTCGGCAGGTATCCTTGATAGAGGCATACAAATTGATGGACTCGGTATGAAGAGCTTTATGACGTATGAGAGTAATGTTCTTTTTGCTCTCCGTTTCATGATTGACCGCAACATTGTCGGTGGCAATTGGATAGAAGTTCCAGGTGGAAAACATAAAAAGACAGCACGCAATCTCTCCTATTCCCAATTAGAGTTTGATTGCCTGTATCCTCTTGCACGGAAGTTTTGTAGTTGCTAAGAATGGAAGCTCGTATATTTTATTTAGGATTTGTTTTTTGTAAAAAAATTTCCTCAATGAATTGTCTCAGTTTTTCAGACTTGATCAGCCATGCTCCTGAAGGGGTTTTCTCAAAGATGGCACCATTTCGCATATTAAGTTTTGACATCGAGTGCGCTGGTCGTAAAGGTCTTTTTCCTGAGCCCACTCATGATCCTGTCATCCAGGTTTATAGCAAATTCATCTCTTGATTTATATTTAGAGAACTAGTTTTATATGGAATTATATGGTATGCTGCTGTCCTTGAACTTTTGGTTGCTGACATAAATTTTCTTGTTTTCCAGGTGTCCAATCTGGTTACCTTGCAAGGAGAGGATCAGCCATTTGTTCGTAATGTAATGACCCTTCAGTCCTGCGCACCAATTGTTGGTGTTGATGTCATGTCATTTGAGACAGAAAAAGAAGTTCTATTAGCTTGGAGAGTAAGTTTTTAGCAGAAATTGTGTGTGGATAAAAAAGTTGTACCCGAGGCAAAATTATAGAAGATAGTGCCGTTTGTGCAATTCATTATTGTGCCTATTAATTTTCTTCTGAGCTGGCCAGAAGGCATTTTCTTGATGACTTTGTTATGTGTTTCAGACACTTTAGTTTTTAACTTCTTATACCCTTATATTGCTTTTACTTTCTAATGTATGGTATGCTGACATGTTAGTTAGGAGGCAAGGTTGGCGGAGATTTGGTAAAAGTTATTATGGGAAGGGATTTACCAAAAAGTTAACGAGATTTATAACCCTTTGTCTTAAAAATAAAAAGATGCTACGAGGTTGAAAAATATGTTGTAGTTTCTCCTTTTCTTAAAGTGTCCGGCTGCATGATGCAGCAGTGTTTTCCTTTTTTAAAATCTGCTGTATAAGTAGTGGAAACATATCCTTTTTATATTAACTAACTTCTAATTTTTATTCAATGCAGGATTTTATTCGTGAAGTGGACCCAGATATTATAATTGGTTATAACATCTGCAAATTTGATTTGCCTTACCTCATTCAGGTGGAAAAAATTAAATCTTGCTTTTTCGATCACTTTTGCTTCAATGTCATTTCACTATGCAACCTTGGTTGACACAGATCATTGATATGCAATTATTTTAATGAACTATTTACATGTTTTCTGTCATCAGAGGGCTGAGGTACTAGGGATATCTGAGTTTCCAATACTTGGACGCATCAGAAATAGTAGAGCCCGTGTCAAAGATACAACCTTTTCATCCAGGTCATGTCATAATTTTGGTTTCAGTTAGTTTTGCTTACTGTTGTGAAAAGTGTCATCTCTTTTCCATTTTCTTTGCTCTTGAAATTGTTCTTATTTCTCTTATCTTTTGCTTAGACCACTACATTTATTTGTACAATGAGAATTGTGACTGTTTTTCATCATCAAAACTTTGTAAACGCTAACCACCACTGTAAAGAATGTAGTGTAACATGGTATTATCAAGAAACCTTGCTGAAGCTTTTCGCAACCAACACACAAGACCCAAACACAACTTGAATGAAGATAATAGAGGGAAGCATCTTCTGCCAGTTTAAGGTCTCTTGACCTCTAATAGAAGCCTTTTCCCATACTATTTTCCTGTGGAGATTTTTGTGGAAGAAATATGATGGAAAGATTATATTCTCTGTGATATTTTCCCAATTGTATGGGAATATTGATTTTGTTATTACACAATCTTTCCTTTTAGAATTATTTGTAACCCTATAAATAAAGTATTGTCCTTCGTAATAATTAGACAAGTTTATTATGTACGATCTATAATTTCCAAAAAATTTGTCTACAACCACAACTTTGGATGTATGTTGATATCAATATATGAAACTTGAGTTCATTTGTGTTGTATGTTGTCTAAGGAACATTTAATGGAGTTCCATGCCTTATAACTTGTTGAGAAGTTGACTGATTGATGCTTTTGGACCTGCAGACAGTTAGGGACTCGGGAAAGTAAAGAAGTTACTGTGGAAGGGAGAGTTCAGTTTGATCTGCTCCAGGTTTCTCTTTTTTCTCATTTTACACGGAATTGTATCAGATGATATCGGGGTTTCTTTTTGAATGATCCAAAATATCTTCTGGATGTCTTCCTCTTGCATCCACAAAAATCCTTGTACGGTTAATTATATCCTCTTTCCCATCTTGTTTGTGCAGGTTATGCAGAGGGATTACAAACTAAGTTCTTATTCGCTCAATTCTGTGTCAGCACACTTTCTTAATGAGCAGGTGAGCCTTTTCTTAAATTCTTTGTGGACGGAAGTCCCAATATTGGATTCTGAAATGATGCTGGAATTCAAATAATTTTTGTAATTGAAAAATGTGTGTCCAAGTTGAGACTTATTTGCTATTAATCACTCTTTCAGCTTCTGTTACACTTGTTAGTCAGATGAGTTTTACTGTTCTGCCTATGTCTAGATGCGGATTTGATATCCTTATTCCTTTCATCCTGATTTCGAGTCTTCTAGTGAAACTATTCTGCACGATCAGCTACATTTACTTTTGTAATTTTAGTTTCATGATGTGATAGGATCAGCAAAGCTTTCAGAAGGGTAAGATAACTCACTAGAAAAATTATCGAAGCACCTTTCACTACAAATACTTAAGCTATTATGGAGAGAATTATATGTAAATCTTCAAGAAGAAGAATTTTGACTGTGCATTTGCTAAGGACATCATGAGCACGTTTTGCATGGCTTTTGTGAAGCCACCAATTTGGTTAATTTTATAAAAGTGCTTCTTCTAGTTAGAAGAGTTTTTAAAGGAAGTTGGTCCAATGGGGCTTCCTTTATATATTCTTTTGAAAGAGAAAACTCTTTTAGAAATTGGTTTCCAAACACTAATTAAAGTAATTTTCGCATGAAGCTCTTTTGCAAGAAGTAGAAGCAAAAGAAGAAGCCCAGCCAAAATGGCCATGTGCTTGGTTTGACTAAGGAAACACTTGTTATGCGGGATAAACTATAATCAAGCAAATGGCATAAGAAACATTGAAGAAAGATTTTTAGTTTTGCAAATGAAGGGTTGTTGGATGAATGATTAGGGAAACGAAAATGTAAAATAAAAGTTTTATCTTTCTTGCCATTTATATTTAATTTACTGGATTTGAGGTAGTTGAGAAAGGCCCAAAAATACCATGTTTATGCAAGTTTTCAGGAAAGAGAAATATGAAAATAACTTGTGTATAAATGTGCAATTATCTGCTCTTAGTATGCAGTTATTGCCTCTTGAAATCTAACTAATCTAGTTTTCTGCTGCATAATTAATAATGTCACATTGAAATTATGAGTTGTCATGAGATGCAATAGTGGTTCTGCTTGAGTGTCATTCAACATGATGTCCAATTTGCCTGTCATTTGATTTGGCCATGTTACGACGCATTTATATTTTTCTTTGCCTTGTTCCACGATTTAACATGTTTCATCGAGTTCTTTTCTAACTAATTTTTGTTTAAGATGCACGCAGAAAGAGGATGTCCATCATTCAATAATATCTGACCTTCAGAATGGAAACTCAGAAACTAGGAGGCGTCTTGCTGTTTACTGTTTGAAGGTACAAATATATCTTTGGTTAAGCTAGTGCAGTTGTATGACCAATTAAGTAGCGTGAACTTTTCTTCTTGCCTATGAGAAGAAGGAATATAGAAAAAAAAAGCTTGCTGCCTTTCTCATTGTTAATATAATTAGTTCAACCCATTTATGTAATGAATTATGTTCCACCACATTAAGGAAATATTGCCCTCAGTGAGGAATCAAGTTACGACGAATTATGCTTCAAGCTTTTAAATGACTGTAACACCCACTCATTCATAAGGCTGTGTATGTACTTTGGCTAAATCTGAAGTCAAGCCAAGCCAGCTGACTGGATTCTCCGTAATAAGTTTTTAGATGCATAATCCACCAGAGATGGGTGATTGGAGAGACAGACTAGCATCTTAATGCATAAGTACTCGTTTACTAAGTGTAACTATGTAAGCCAGCTTCTTACTTAATTGGGATCGTATCCATAGAATTTTCATGAAGCGTGATTTAACAAAATTTGTAAGGCTTTGTCCTTGAAATGTATAAATCATATTACTGTAGTTTTTCATCCATTATAAAGGAATATAACCTATAAAAATGAAAAGAATAAATAAGCTTAGTAAATGTAATTTTATGATATTTATGTATCACTTAGCTCCTTGAATATAATAAGATTGGCACTGTATGTTGCTTGGACTTAGCTGGAGTGTCAACACTGGCTACTGTCCAAATTTTAAGCCTATTAAAATCTAAAAGCTTTAGCTGTACAAGAGGGGGACATTTATTTATTTTAAATCATGTTTCCATCATGCTCCCTCACGTGTATGCTAGATTCATTTGTTCCACTAAGCCTGGCCTGTGAACAAATCTTTACAAGTGGTTTGCTTAGAGACTTCAATCTGGACCCTTGCCTACTTTGATATGATATTGAACCTCTTCATCTAAAATCTTCAGAAGGGAAAACTTAAATTATGTCTTCAACTAGTCTGCAAACCTCTAAAATCTGGATAATGGACATGGAAAAGTGTTAAATGTTTTAATCTTTTTCCTTTATTCCTGTGGTATATATGCATAGTGTAAACAAAAACAGTTCTAAATGCATATCCAGATGGGTTTTCAATGGTTATAGAACAAATAAAATGACTTTGATTTGTGTTTTAAATCATGCTCAATGAATAAGTTCATATTTTGTTCACTTTGTTAGTGTGACTGTTTTATTTGTGAAAGCTATTCTAAAGTTCAAACTAACATCAATAACTATCAAAACATAGGTCTCTAAGATATTGGCTAAATACCTTAGTTGAATCAACTGACTGGCGGCTTTTCATCATGTATGTTTAGTTTGTCATGATTAAATCTAATTCGGCAATTCATCAGTAAGGGGAAATCAATAGCTGAAACTCCAAACGCTGCAGATAAGAAAAATAAAATAGTCTGATGGGAAAATTCAATTTCAGTGTCTGTATGGGTACTGAATGTAATAAACAATTCCAGGATGCTTACCTCCCTCAACGGCTTTTGGATAAGTTGATGTTCATTTACAACTATGTGGAGATGGCTCGAGTCACAGGTGTTCCCATTTCGTTTCTACTATCCAGGGGTCAGAGCATTAAGGTTATTTCATCACTTTACAACTCCGGAATTTTGATCAGTTTGTGGTCGTAGGCCAGCTGGGAATCTTAAATATGACCATTACCTTCAGGTTCTTTCTCAGCTACTACGGAAAGCAAAACAGAAGAATCTTGTTATTCCAAATGCCAAACAGGCTGGATCGGAACAGGGAACTTTCGAGGGTGCAACTGTAAGTGATAATGTTCTTTTCTAGACATTAAGAAACTTTACAAAGATCTTAGTTTCAATGTCCTACTCTATTTATCCTATTGTTGTAAGATAGTGATTGTCTGAAACTTGAATGCTCGCATATTTGTATCCACATTCAGGAAGATCGTAATTTTGTCTTCTCTCAATCTACTTAACATTGATTCCTTCCTTCTCAATGTGATCAACTGGGGCCTTCTACCAAGTAGCTGTGAAGACCTGTCTAACCAATGTCCTTGGCAACAAGTTGAGCATTGTCAATTGACCAAAATGCTCAAGCCCATTTTGTCATGTAGTAGTTGTCCAAGATCTTACAACCATTTAAATAAATCCCACCCAACTGCTGGTGGTCAAGGCATTGCAGTAGTAATGCTCTATCATCTTTATTCGTTTTCTTTGATATCAACTATTCGAGGTAAAAGAAATCCTAGCTTTGGTGTACTAATCTTTCTGCGGGAAGATTTCTGAGCAAGTGCTGACTATTTAAAGGGATTAGCTTGAAACTTCTAACATTTTTGTATTGGAGGTTTTCTAAAGATTAGGGTAAAAGTTATTAAATATGCCATTCAATGCAAGCATAGTTGAATTCTTACAGGTAAGTTTTTATAACAATAAGAAGTAATAAAATTATGTAAACATGTTTTACATTTAATTAGTAAAAGTAGTGAAATAGAGCATGAAATCGTAAGCTACCAAGCAGTGGGAGGAGCCACGTCTCTCAAAGAGAAAACTGGATTTTTAAAAAAAAAATTTATGTATTTTTTTATTTTTTTGTCAACTCTGAATTTCGAAAAAATGCAGGGATTGGGATTTAGCTGTCCCTTGCATTTTATGGGTGCTGTGTGGAGAAGGAAAAGTTAATTATTTAGACCTGGGAAAGAAATTCAAGGGTTAAAAGTTGAATTTGCGAACGTGATCATTTTATTATAGTCGTGAGAAGCACCCTGGATAGCTGTAATTACTCTTGCTTTTTGTGTTGTGGACTGTGTATAGTTCCTCACCTGTCTCTTTAAGTGGGTTGCTCCTCTAATCTGGATAAGCAATGAAATGTTTGCTTACTAAAACAATTCATAATGCAGGTTTTGGAGGCAAGGGCGGGATTCTACGAGAAGCCTATTGCAACACTGGACTTTGCATCTCTATACCCATCCATTATGATGGCGTATAACCTGTGTTATTGCACACTGGTGAATATTCTTCACAACATGCACATTTTCTTTTGAAGTGAATCCTGATTTTGGGAATTGAGAAGATACATAAATTATCAAAATAATTGTCTCCCCTGAGGTGCTTGTGATTTTAATCGCAAATATTTTCGTTTTTCGATTATTATTGTATAGGTAACTCCGGAAGATGTCCGGAAACTTAATCTGCCTCCAGAATGTGTTAATAGAACTCCATCTGGTGAAACATTTGTCAAATCGAATTTACAGAAGGTCAATTTTTCTCTTTAGATCCTATTATTTATCATATGCATGTGGCAAAAGTCATATCTCAGATATTGTGTAAATTTCTCTTCAGGGAATACTTCCAGAAATTCTTGAAGAACTTTTGGCTGCTCGTAAAAGGGCTAAAGCAGATTTGAAGGTGCTCAAGTTATTCATTCTAGTAGTGTTGTCTGATAATTGTTTCAATACTTGTCTGAAATATTTTTCTTCTCCAAAATTACTTGTTATATGCTGCATTGTGTTTCGAATGAGAACAGTTCTCTATATTAACTGTGGTTTGATTTTAGGAAGCAAAGGATCCTCTTGAGAAAGCTGTATTAGATGGTCGTCAACTGGCTTTGAAGGTTCCCTATTGCACAATTAACTAGAGTCATCTTTTATGATTAATATGTTTTTGCTGTGTCGTGACTATGCTTATGTTTGGCTTCATATGCACCTGCAATGATTTGAGGAGTTTGATATTTGCTGATTTTTCAGATAAGTGCGAATTCTGTATATGGGTTTACAGGAGCTACAGTTGGTCAATTACCTTGTTTAGAGATATCTTCAAGTGTTACCAGCTACGGTAATAGATCTGGCTGACAAGCCTTGCATCCTACTGCGCAATTCTAGTTATATTCTTCTAATTTTTATAATAGTTGTGCGATGCTTCATAATTTTCTTGATCTGATGAATTGACCATCTTTCCGAAGGTCGACAGATGATTGAGCACACAAAAAAACTCGTGGAAGATAAATTCACCATTCTTGGTGGCTATGAGCACAATGCTGAGGTATTCTATCCATAATTATCGACCAGAAATTTACATCTGGCCCATCAATGTTCTTTAAAACTGAAGTCGAAGAATTATACTTGGAAATGTATCTTGTTGGTATACTTTCTCGTGGTTAACCAGTAAAATGAATTGAAACTCACCTGGGTATATTTGTTTAGGACAATAGAGTAAGACTTTGTTTTAGATTATAACAGGATCTGGCATAAGCTAGTAGGTGGTGGTTGTTATTTTGTTTCATGACTGTCCCAGGACAAAAGATTTTTCAAAGTAATACCATTCTCTTTATATTATTAGTGGAAAGAATTAGAGATTAATTTCCCTATGTTGAGAAGGGTAATGGTTAATTATGTCATCTTTCTCAATGTTTCTTCAATTCTCTTGCCATTGTTAGACATATCTGACATGTACAATATAAAATTTTTAAATCGTTATATCTATATAAAGTTTATGCCCCACCACCAGCCTTTTTCTCTTCTAGTTCACGTTAGTTTCTTGTCTATTTGCCTTCTCACCCCATTAAGGGTGTGTTTGATGGATATTATTGAGGAAAGAATGTGTTTTAAATAGAGTTATGATGGGAAATATGTGGTTAAAAAGTAAGGAAAAGTTATTGATGAGATGAAAAATATTATTTTATTGAAGAATGTGAGGTTGAAAATGAGTTTTGAAAGAACGTGCTAAGTATATGTATCTATAATCTGTATACTACTGCATTTTCTTGGTCACAGACCATGGTGTGATCTCCCCTTACATTGTGATAATATTGTCATGACAGATCATATATGGAGATACAGATTCAGTTATGGTGCAGTTTGGTGTGTCCTCAGTGGAAGCAGCCATGAACATGGGAAGGGAAGCTGCTGACTACATTAGTGGTACTTTCATCAAGGTAAGTGACATAAAATGGGAAAGAGAACGAGAGAATGAAAAAGAAGAGATAACAAGATTTGGGAATTTGCTAGAGAAATTACGAGGATATCCATATCACTCATAGTATCTCTATAATTCAATAATACTCGTCCTGTTTATACATAAAGTTCCTAGCAAAAATGGATAGCAGCAAAAGTAATGAAATGAAAAAAAAAATAATAATAATAAAAAATTCCTAACTTAAAACTTATAATTACTACAAGGAAAGAAATTAAAATCTACTTTTACTTTTACGCGTAGAATACATGAGTGCGTATGTGCATTTTTGGTCAAGATAAGTGTGTGTTTGGTTAGTCTCCAGTGCAATCTCCGTAAGTTATAGTAAAAGATTGTTCTGTCCCTTTTATGGCATCTTGTCAAAATACATCACTGCCTCAAGGAAAGTTTTAGATACCTTTGGGCACTTCATCTCATATTTTACAGCCCATTTCTTGAACCTTCTTCTTCAAGAAGACTGGAAAGAATCTAGAATCTGCATCAGAAATAAATCCACAGGTATTTATAAAAGAATCTGGACTTAGCAAGCTGCTGATTTTATTTACATGGTGGAATTATCTAGACTCCAAAGCCACCGACAGACACCCCTATAAATATGATTCAGCACTTGAATTTGTGTACAGAGAGAATGAGAAGTGAGAAAGAATGAGAATTAGAAAGATGGATAGAGTGGAGCTTGTGTCAGTTCTTCCTTTTCCAAAAATAATTAATAGAGAGAGGTGCGTTTGTTATAAAATCAAATTGTACAAGTGTCTCCTTTGTAGCTGGAATGAGCATCTAAGAGTTGTTGCTCAATATATTTTTGTCAATGCTGTGTGGAGGGAATAGTGTGAATGGTTTATAAGGACTTGTTAAATCGTACTCATCAATATTGGTTTAAGCATTTTGGTATCAGTTGGTTAGTTTGCAACTGTTGGTAATGCAGGGGTTGCACCTAAGTCCTTACGGTGTATCAGCCACCATCGTGGTACTATCCACTTAGCTGAGCTTCAAATGTTGGAGTGGGGCATTCATAATGAGTTAGATACGGCCAGGATTTCACATATACAAGTAGGGAAATTGCAACTCCTCATGCATGTGGCTTGTAATTGTGTAGGATGGTGTGATAGGTTTACAAGGATTTTGCAATTTTGCCTGTTGGTATGCGTTAAATCAGTTTAGGTTGGTCAATTAGGCTCAATTTTCATTTTTTTTAATTACCGTGGATGTTCGGGCCAGCTTACGCGCACCTTGGCTAAATCCACGGGGCCCTGAAGTTTACGGTAGGGTACTCACCTCACTGGCCCTGAGGGGACTCGAACTGGTGACCATTGGTGAGCAAATCCAAGATCTGACTAATTGAGCAATCCCTCGGGGTTAACTTTTTTTTTTTTTTTTACGTGGCAAGGAGTGTAACAGGGGGTTCTTTCACATACAGACATACTTATAATGATTCTTTTGTAGCAAAGTGATTGTAATGTTTTCTACAGTTTTGATTGTGTTATCTGCTAATTATTAATTCAGACAAACCAATCCACTTATTTTTGTCTATTATCTTTAGATGCTCGCTGATTCAACATGGGTTCTATTTTTATCTTTTATCTCATCTTGGGTAGTACGGATTGAGTTGATTTAAAATGGGGAACATCAGAGAAGTGGTTTAGAGTGTAATCCTATAATGCTTTCTAAACATACATTTAACTTTAGCTTAATTTAGCCTTTTGCATTTGGAGCTTGCTTCTTTTTTACATAATAACATTCTAAATTAACTGTCATATTATTTAATTTTCTTCAACTTAATCAAGCACTACGTGTCTAAAGAGTCTCATTAAATCTACTCTATTAAATATCCCTACTTATTTTTTGTCACTGTTTTCGATCCATGTTGCAGTGACAAATAGATTAGAGATGATTTAAAGAGAATTTCTGTGGGTAGATTTGGGAGAGGAGAGGAAATTTCATTTGGCCAATTGAGAAATTGTGTGCTCTCCTGTGAGGATGGGGATCCTCGGATTGAGGAGACACATTTTGTTTAACAAAGTATTATTAGGTAAATGGCTGTGGCGGTTTGGAGTGGAGAGGGAGAGCTTTTGGAGAGAAATCATTGGGGCGAAGTATGGAGTGATGAAGGGGAGATGGTGTTCAGGTGAGGGTCGTGGGTCTTATGGGGTAAGTTTGTGGAGATATATTCGATGAGGTTGGAGCGACCTTCGGGACAAATTGACTTTTGTGGTGGGGAATGGTAATTATATTAGTTTTTGGGATGACTGTTGGTGTGGAGATATACAGCTAAAGGTGGGGTTTCCTTCCTTGTATCGCATTACTATGGCGTCATCTGCTATGTAAA